TCAAGTCAACTGGGATGAATAGGGGTTTACTACGGGCCTAGGACTTTGACAGGCTTTCCTTTTTCTAGTTCTCATATCTGAAGTCACCTGTTGTCTAAGGGCTGCAAAGAAGCTATTATAATCTAGATGAATTTTTCTATCTTATGGTTTTTTTTTGTAAGCCAACACATTCACTCAGGCAGCAGTTGCAAATTTTTCAAAGTGAAAGTGACAGAACTTTCGGAACAACCCAATATTTTAAAAGGAGTCAATCCATCTCCAACAACAGCTTCACAAATGTTTTCGGCATCATGTTAGAAAAACTCTTTCTCGTGAACTACTTTACACATTAGAAATTTTATGACCACAAACTTGCTCTAAGCCATGGTTTTTGTGTTCAATAAGAATGTTTTCGAAAAAAACTACTGTCACTCAAAGCTGAGCTTACAGCTGAACTTGTGTTGTAATTAGGAATCAGCTCATATAACAGTCATGATTTTTAGTAAGTGATGGCTTTCGAGCCGCTGGTTATAATCGTATACATATTGACGATTGCTGGATGGAGCTTTCGAGAGACAAACACGGAAAACTTGTAGCGGATCGAGAACGCTTTCCCAGTGGAATGAAAGCACTTGCAAAATACGTAAGACATTTCTACCACACAAACTTTAGCCCATGCTTTATCTCCTTCGAATGTCACTGCTAGAAGACATAAGCTAAGCCAATTCGATCAAATCGTTCAGATGCATGACAGGAAATTGGAGCTTGGAATTTACGAAGATTTTGGAACAAAAACATGTGCAGGATATCCGGGCAGCATTGACCATATCAAGGTACTAATTCAAAAGTAATTTGCCAAGCATCCCAAAACAACTTCTTATGAATTGGAAAACAAATTGCATTCTAGGACGATGCCGACACATTTGCTTCTTGGGACATAGACTACCTCAAATTGGATGGATGTTATGTTGATATTGATCTAATGTCTCAGGGTAAGCTTCAGCCAAATTCTTAATTTGTCTATGGAACTGATAACGAGAGAGCAAACTTTTTCTCATCTGCTGGAATAACTAAGCTTTGGTGCAAAATTTATGTCAATTGTGTGCTCCTCTTTCCATTGGCGCCTGCGCGAAAATTCTGTGTCACATTCGCGCGGTAAGCTCGAGCATAATCGGTTTCATTGATTGGAGGTGCGCACCGATGCCCTTGCGTAGCAGTTGTGTAGCGCTATGCAAAAGAGACCGCGTCATTGACACAGATTGTATGTGACTTCACTTTCAATCAACCTACATTAAGGCTATCCGAAAATGATGGAAGCTCTCAATCGCACCGGACGACCCATTGTTTACGCATGCGGGTGGCCGCTATTCTTCCATATAGCTCATAGGGAACATGACGTATTTCTTGTCGTTTTAGTAAGCTTCATCCGAAATAACTCGCAATCACTCGTTTAGGTGGATTATGGTGCTGTAGAGAAAGCTTGCAACTCTTGGCGAATTTTCGATGATATTGAGGGATCATGGAAGTCGATTCTCAAAACTATCACTTATGTGGAAAAGTATCAGGATGTTTTGG